CAGCCTGTCCAGGTCCCTCTGGATGGCATCCCTTCCCTCCAGCATGTCCACCACACCACACAGCTTGGTGTTGTCGGCAAACTTGCTGAGGGTGCACTCGATCCCACTGTCCATTTCTCCAATAAAGACGTTATTAAATAGCAGTGGTCCCAGTACTGACCCCTGCGGAACACCACTCGTCACCGGGCTCCATTTGGACATTGAGCCGTTGACCACAACTCTCTGAGTGCGACCATCCAGACAATTCCCTATCCAGCAGGTGGTCCATCGATAAAATCCATATTTTTCCAATCTGGCCACCAGGATGTCATGCGGGACAGTGTCAAATCTACCTGACCATTGCAACAACTGGCATTAGCTAGAAGAGTCCCATGTACACTCCTCGCATTTAAATCTCTGGATGCTACTGGCACAGAAAGCCCAACAACTCACTCAATTTTACTACTGCCCTGGAAGAACCTGAGGTCCCTATTTTCAAAACTGAATGTCTGGAGGCACGTACATTACAGGCCATATTTAAAGGACCTATATTTTCAGAATCAGTTGCACCGATTCCAACCAGTACTGATAGGTTGGTTTTTTTTTTTTTTAAATAGACCATTTAATGGGGTTCTAAATACGGAGATCAAACGCTAACTTTAGGCATTCAAGTGAAACTCTGAATTCACGGAAACTGATGGCAAAATTAACATTGGACAAATCACTTTTATGGATGGACAGATGGCCTATATTCATGGACTTTTCACTAGGAAGAGTGACTGTTGTATTATAAGCTACAACAACTATCAGAAACTATATATATTATACTTGGTCAGAGTGTTATAAACACACATTTACAACTTTAAAATATACAAAAATTGGTCCCTGGACAACACTTAGAAAATACATACAGAGCAGCAAGTTCCCTTCTTGTGTAAAAGCAATTTACACATATTAACCAAGAAATCTTCCCACACAATAAAAAAATGGTTTCATAAATTCCATTCTACACTATTGAAACACTCCTTCACACTCTAAGACTATGGATTTAATGGATGGACTATTTGGTGGCTAAGGAATTGGCTGCGTGTTCATAGCCAAAGAGTACTGGTCAACAGTTCAATGTCCAGATGGAGATCAGTGGTAAGTGGTGTCCCTTAGGGGTCCATATTGGGACCAGTACTGTTTCAGTACCTTCATCAATGACATAAACAGTGAGTCAAGCGCACCCTCAGCAAATCTGCAAATGACATCAAGCTGAGTGGTGTGGCTGACATGCCTGAGGGACAGCATGCCATTCAGAGGGACCTGGACAAGCTCAAGAAGTGGGCCCAGGTGAACCTCATGAGGCTCTGAGGCTCAACAAGGCCAAGTGCAAGGTCCTGCACATGGGTTGGGGCAACCTCCAGTATCAGTACAGGCTGGGGGATGAAGGCATTAAGAGCAGCCCTGCAGAGAAAAATTTGGAAGTACAGGTGGACGAAAAGCTGGACATGAGCCAGCAATGTGGACAGAAAGCCAGCTGTGTCCTGGGCTGCATGAAAAGCAGCATGGCCAGAAGCTTGAAGGAGGTGAGCACAGGAAAGCACAGAAAAGACACAGACCTGTTGGAGCGAGTCCAGGAGGGCCACAAAGATGGTCAGAGGGCTGGAGCACCTCCCGTATGAGGACAGGCTGAGAGAGTTGGGGGTGTTCAGCCTGGAGAAGAGAAGGCTCCAGGGAGACCTTCCAGCACCTTCCAATACCTGAAGGGGGCTACAGGAGAGATGGGGGGGTGCACTCTTGATCAGGGGGTGTAGTGATAGGATGACGGGTAAGGGCTTTAAGCTGGAAGAGGGGAGATTTAGATGAGATATTGGGAAGAAATGTTTTCCTGTGCGGGTGATGAGGCAGTGGCCCAGGTTGCCCAGAGAAGCTGTGGATGCCCCATCCCTGGAGGGGTTCAAGGCCAGGCTGGATGAGGCTTTGGGCAACCTGGGCTAGTGGGAGGTGTCCCTGCCCATGGCAGGGGGGTTGAAATCAGATGACTTTTACAGTGGTCCCTTCCAACCCAAACCACTCTATGATTCTATAAGAACAAAAGGGTTTAAAGGTTCAAAAACCAAAACACTCCTAGATGTCATGTAAGATCTCACTGTAAGGAAAAAAAAAAGCCATGTCCGGTAAATCAGAAGTCAGCAATCTCTGGCATAGCATAAAGAGATTGTAAGTGGCACGTAAGGGAGCTGGCTCAGGGACAGAGCTATCTTGAGAGAGTGTTTGAGAGAGGCAGCAGCTGTCAACAGATGGCACTCAACAGATTTGCATTCACTAGAAGCCAAGAACTGCTCTCTCATACGGAAGCAAGACATCCACCAAAAAAGTAGTTTTTGATTAAGTTTTTTTAACTTAGGAAAGAAAAATTAAAGCTAGCATATCCATGAGACATTGGTGACCTTAACTTGAACATCTCAAGTACACAGACAATTTCTTTTTTTTCTTATTGGCACAGATCAACTATCAGATAAGCAAAATTGAGTCTTTAAATTTTCCTTCAAACTTGCAATAACTTATTTGCACCACAAATATGGATTAATAAATAAGCTGCTTTCCCCCTTTAAAGCAAAAATTACAGTTTCTTCAAATGATCCAGGATAATCTGAGGTTTTGTAATTATACAAATCAGTTCTAGGCTATAATACAGGACCTCCTCAAAAGTCTGAGGAAAATGCTAACCCATCAAACACTGTACTTCCACAGCATCATGCGTACTTGTAGCTTTTATTTTTAGCTTATAGTACTTTTACATTAAAAGTCAATGACAAGAACCTGAGAACACACTACCTGTAGTGTTTCTCTGCTAACATAGGCAATCTGCTGTTCTGAAAGTGGTCCAGTCACTGAAATGAAAGGTGAAAAAAAAAGTAATTCTCAAAATCAGGTAAGATATTGCCCATTCCAAACCCATGCCTCAGCTACTTTCATTCACACTGATAGGATCTCAAACTACAAGTCTCAAAGTAAATGTGCTTTGACTTTTCCCCAGACTGAACATCCCAAAGACCACCAAACTTTTTTTAGCTCAAAAATGTCTAGTCCCATTAGAATGGAAAATAACGGCCTCTATATATAAATCTCAGTGAAGAGGAAAAAGAAACAGAAGCAGTGATTTAAGTACAACTCTCTCCCCTGCACAAACTCACTGTGTCCTTGTATGCAAGGCTGAACCTCCAACGCAGTGATTCAGAGCTGCAGGAAACTCCGCTCGGTCCCCTTAGAGCCCTAGGAATTTCCTTCTACCCTTGTGACTTGCTCTCTCCTTCCATCCTTCCCGCTGCCATGCGATCTGTTCTCTGCAGCTTCTCAACCCTTTTCTGCACCAGCTACGAGCACTGTTGCTTCCGGGCCTGCCACACCATGTACCCTCTCAAACTCTCCCTCTGAGCAGGCTCAGCAGCTTCCCAAGGTAAGGAGCAGCCTTCCTCTCCCTCCAGGGTCCCGCTTCACTCAAGCTGACTAAAGGAAAACAATTAAATTCTGAACAAATACATAAACCAAACACTGAACAGCAAGCAAGGAATGGCCTGTGACTTGTCCCCAATCACTGGCACTTTGATCCTGACATTAAAGGTTTTTAAGACCAGGAAATGCGGTCCTCACTGCAAGCTTCTCAGGTTTTGCAGAGAAACAAATAGAAAAGTAGGAAGGGGTTTCTCAAAGGAAGTTGAAGGAGTAGGGAGTTAAAAATGAAACAAGATTTAAGCACCTAACTGCTCAGCTTCTACAAAACCCACGACAATATAAATCAGTATAATGCAATACATATCTTCAAAACTGGTCTAGATCCATCTTCCCTTTTATGAAAGAAAAGCTCCAAACCCACATAAAATTAAATATATTAGCACCCGGAGTACATATTTCCAGGTAGGCAAGTCTATTTTGAGAAATTTAATTATGATTACCTTAAATGATTTAAAGATTCCAAAGGTCTATAGTTCATCTGGAATAAGACCCTCTGGAATGTAATTAAGATCAGAAAAGAACCTTCCACTCTATCTACCAGCAGAGAAGCCAAAAATCAGGTGGAACAGGAAACTGCTACTGTACAGCATGTGTTCAGACATTTATGTGGCATGAGCTCATTTCCTACTCTACAGGTGCTCCACATAACAAAGTCTAATAGACATGATGCTTTTATCAACACCAGCAAAGACATAAAGGCTCAACAAAGCCGTGCTCAATTGGCTATGCCACAAGGATACTGTGAACTTGTGAATCAGTGTCTTGTTTTAATTGTATCCAAGCTATATGTAAAAAAGTACACAAGCTGTTTACACACAGAAGAAGGATGTAAAGATTCTAACATGTAAAATCTTCACAATTTAGAACACGGATGGATTTTCTGTGTGAAAAACATCACCTGAGAACCATAGAGCTATTACTCACGGCAAATAAACAAATCTTAATTCCAGGGCAATAAAAACCCTTAAAACTGATTTTGTTTCTGGAAAACTAGCAGTCAATTCACTGATCCTCTCTTTATGCAGTAGATTCACACACATCCCTTGTTTCTTTGACCACTCATTGCACCTAAGACCAAACCAAATATATACGTCATCTTTGCTTTTCATGTCATGCATCCAACATTGAAGAAAAAGTAAAAGAAGACAACTCTCGAGGCACTTCTGGTATACAAACACACAAAAGATCCCTGTTTACAAAGGACAAGAGCATCAATGCTAATCAATTCTTATCCAGGCATCTGTAGGCAGTGGTATAGTTGTTGTAATAAAGCAAAGTTCAAAAGCTCAGAAACAAAAAAATGACTATAAGACAGCACATCAGGATATAATATTTTTATTTTTACAATATGATATTGTCTAATTGTACAGCATTTGAAAAGTAGGGATTGATATACGAGCTGCTGAAGGAAGGAAATAACTCCGGCTGCTCAAAAAAACCCCACTATAGCTAATTTTCTTAAAAAAACCCAACAACCTATTATGTAAATACATGAGCTAAAATTGACCTTCAAAGGATTACTATGGATACTAAACTTAGGATTCCACCTCTCTGATTCCCAAAAACTGTAATCATCTCCATTTTCAAAAATAAGCTGTACTTAGATTTTAAGGAATTGCAGCCTTGACGTACCATGATAAATATCCTGTAGAGAGCCACCTCCACAAAACTCCATGCAGATCCATAGCTTGTCTCGTCTAAAAAGTGAAGAAAATCATTCATTAGCTGTCAGATTTGAAAACAACACTATAAAAGATAAGTCAGAGGACTCAAACACTAAAAAGTACATAACAAGCTCTGTATCATGAAAAGTACAAGTCAAATAATGAATATGATTTCAACTTTATGTGATACTATTTTGATACTGAAGTAACTAACAAATACTCAAAATATTCCAGGGTTCACTGGAGTAATAGAAACAGTATTAGTGAAATGTGCACACTGATTTTTGTTCAAGATCTACTATGAAAATTATTTTTACTGATAGTAGAGAGAAAACAGATGTGTGTTCTTATTTCTTCCTCATTTTTACTTCTCCACTTTTCTCAGAGCAGAAGAATTAACACAAACAAACCAACAAAAAAGAAACAAACCTAAACCAAAAAGCCCTAAGGATATCTCTCAACTCAATTTCTTTCACAATGAATGGAGTGAAACTGTAGTGCTTTAGTCAAAGCTAGGCAGAGTGGAGCCCGTGCTGTAGGCAAGTGTATTCTCAGATGAAAACTTTTCCCTCAAGAATACCTATGGATATTTTTGGTGGCAGGGGTCAGAGGGAAGTTCTTTAGATTCCTCTCACTAAAGGAATCAATTCGGTTTGACTCACTATACCTTCATAAAAGGTGCTTTCCAAGAATAGACAACAGGCTGAAGGATTCAAAGGTTTCTTCTATTATGGACACTAAATTCTCATTATCACTGGTAAGACAGATGTACCACATGGAGCTGCAGAAAGGCATTCTGGAGAGCAGAAAATACGGGACTTGCCTAGTCATTCCCGGCCATCAAAACACACGGAAAGAAAAAATCACATACTACCTACCACCTTAGGGCAGACTGGGACACAAAGGCAACCAAAGGAAAAAGCGAAGACTGTTCTTGCAGTTTGCTCATGACCTGTGGTCTTGCATTTCTTAAGGCTCTGATAGAATAGCTGAGACATTCCTGTAGGCAACGTTAACATTCATGGAAGTGTTTTGCAAGGCAACAGTGCAAGCGCTGAGCTTATCTCTCGAGCTGCAAATTGCAAGGATATCTCACCAGCAGGCAGCAGCTACAACAGCTGCTGTTCCAAGGAAGAACTGTATATCTTGGATCTCTTCCCCTTTTATGTCCACGGCCGAGGGAGCTGGGGGGGTTCAGTCTGGACAAGAGGAGGCTGAGAGGAGACCTCATCACTCTCTACAACTGCCTGAAAGGAGGGTGCAGTGAGGGGGGTGCTGGGCTCTGCTCTAAAGGAACAAGTGATAGGACAAGAGGAAATGGCCTCAAGTTGTGCCAGGGGAGGTTTAGGCTGGATATTAGAAAAAATTTCTTCACTGAAAGAGTGATGAGGCATTGGAACAGGCTGCCCAGGGCAGTGGTGGAGTCACCATCCCTGGAGGGGTTCAAGAAACGTGTAGATGTGGTGCTTCAGGACATGGGTTAGTGGGTTAGGTGGGGTTGGGTTGACGGTTGGACTTGATGATCCTTGAGGTCTTTTCCAACCTTTAATGATTCTGTGATTCTATGAAGATCCATGTAATCAACGGTAACAGTGTACAGAGTTGCCTGCGTCTGCAGAGCTTCTAGCAAGCACAGCAAACAAATCAGAGACAGGATCAACAGTACCACTCAGTGTCTGCAGCTAACACCCAGGCTAGCAGCAAGGCAGAAATTTGACTGCCTGAAAAACCAACGTGTAAACAGAAGAAAAGCATGGGGAACAATATGCTGGTAAGTGCCAAATACAGGATGATGGTATTTTTCTCATTGTTCTTAGCATTGAAAGATACCTGGAAAACAAGAGGACAGACAATGAGAGGCCTCAAAGGCAGCTATTGGACTGCCCAGACAAAAGAAGCACTACACTAAAGAAGGGGGAGCAAGCTCCAAGCAGGAGCACAAGAAAGGGCCAAAACATATGCTATACTTGTCAGAATTTAATTCTGGCTCTACAAAAGTATATTTTGATACCCTGACACAAGAGGAAAACTGTTTTTAAAGAAAAAGGATCCCCAGTCTGAATACAGCATCATGAGAAGAGGCACCATTTCATCTCAAAATTTTAAAGACAGTCAAATGCAACAATAGTATTTGTTCACAGTCTGTTTTCACATGAATTCTTAAAAAAGTCGTCAGAAACAGCTTTTTATTAGTTACACTAAGCAATCTGGTCCCACTATGACTAGTTAAAAGAAGCAGCTGGTAAAACAACTGCATACATTTGTCAGTGCTTCTACAACGGAAATAATCTCACTTCCAGAAACAGACACAAATGGAACCATCACATTCTGTTCAGAAGTTCATACGTTAGAAAAACAGCTCGAGAAAAGTTCCACAGCACTGCAGAGCCCCAGCCCTCCCCTCTGCCATTCCTCACTTAGTTCTTTCTTCTAAATCTGTCTTCTGAAAACGTTTATAACAATAACTGTCAGGTTTGTGGAGCACGCCAGACTTCATGTTACACATCAAGAAAAATGTCAACACAACTTCCTTCCCACTACTGCGGACAGGTACAAATAAAGTAATTACATTAAGATGTCCTCCACTGCACATTCAAAAAGGTGCTCTCTTCCCAAACAAAGGCAGGCTTTGAGGTTGGAAGGAAGATTAAGGATGTGTGACAGGAGTGGACCACAGTGTTCCACCCACACAACTTTCAGAACATGCACCACCCATTTGAGAAGCTCAGTCACCATAACATGGAGTTTCCAAATACTGCCTTTAGGAGATCACAACATCCCTTGCCAACTTTACCACCTGCCAATCTGTAGCAACTCCACAAATTCTCAAAAAAAATTTTAATATTACTTTGATGTATGTAGCAGTATTAAGAATTGCCTGTTCATGCCCAAGCAAAAGCCTGCCAGTACTGCACAGAATGGAAGTAACACACAATTTAGGCGTGTTCAAATTAATCTGAAATGTTGAAAACTGCAGTGCAGACACTCCTAGTTTGGAATACCAAGTCCCTAAGTGTACACACACATAACGCAGCTCACAGACCAGGTCAGCATTAAAAAAGCATTCAGGCTGCCAGGACAAGCACCTTCAAGATATGAGATCCCAGAGCAGCACGGCTTCTTGATTTCATCTTCAGACTTGGATAACTTCCTGTACGTGAAGATGCAATAATGTAAGCAGTACACAACCACACGCTCTGGGCCTCGCTCGGTGTAGCATGTGGATGGTGTTCATCTAACGGGGTAGTCAACAGATTGCTTTCCTCTTCCTTCGCACACTTTCAGTGCATTTCCACTTACTGTGAAAATACACTTGCTCTTAAAAACTTCCTTCATGCTCCACACTAAACTATGTATGTGAAGTACTAATGACCAGCTCTTCCGCTACAGACCTCTGAAATGACTATAAAGCAAATGTAATTTAAAACACAGGTTCTATTGTCTTGCATTGCATCTGTCAGCACGCAGTACTGCCACTCGTCAGACAAAAGCTAACAAGATACTCATGCTAAGAAAGATGCAATGAACCCTGCCAGTGATAGGACATGGTTTCAGTGAGCATCCAGAGCTATTGAGGACACTGAATATAAGAGACAGGGAAAAGAAACTCCTCAGGACAGCATCGATCAGCTGAGCCTCTGCAGGAGACTTCCTCTTCTCCTCTAGCATTTATTGCCAGGACTTTCTCTCTCCCCCAAACTGCCTCCAAGTTCTGGTACCCTTAACTTGTCCAATTTCAGTTTTCTCCAACTATGCAGACGTTCAGCATCGAGGTCATCAAAAGCACCACAAAGCGCTCCACACTTGCCTTTTCAACATCCCGTCCCAGCTTGCCCCAGAGCAAAACAAAGAATGCTCGCCAACAGCCAAGCAAGCCAGGGAGCACATTAGCTCTTCCGTAGCTAGAAAATTAACCGTAACTGGGATTTCCCAAGCTCTACCTGGTCTAGAATGAAAGTAAAAGAAATGAAGTTCTCAGAAGATAACTTGGTCAAATTTGAAAGGATTTTTCAAAGGAAAAGATGCACAACAAATAGCAGAGTCGAAATCTGACATATATTCCTGCTTCAAAGATGATAATTTTTTTGTTGAGAGATTTTCACATACCAAGATCTTTCATGTGAAAATACCACCTGTATCTTCCCACATGAAATGCAAAAGCACTTGGCCTATATGGCTAAAAAGCTATCGGCTGCAGCAGACAGCCATCATGGAGAATTTCAGCTGGAATTGCTGATGTCTAATACACACGAGTACCTCAACTTGGCATCTTCCCATTCTGAATAGGGTCTAGAAAGCTTCACAACATGCAGAGCTGTCATGTCCCACCTCTGTTGTCCCCAAGCACACACAAGATAATGGGAATAAGCAAAAGGAACAAGAAGCCTATGCCGTAAAGAGCATCATGACTTTTCAGAGCCTTTTAAAAGCTTTTTATTACAAGGCATTATATGCCTAAAATCATGACAACGTTAGGTTGACAAAATCCACCATTGAAAGGTCTAGTCCTTGGATATCAAGCAATTGTTACATCTAGGATAAAACATTGGTTACGATGCACTAAAAAAAATTATAGCAGTCAATGTTATCAGACACTTTCTAAATCCTGAGACTTTGTATGGAGTATGGGTTTACTACACTTGTAACGTAAGTAAGCAGAACACCTTACAAAAGGAATTACACAAAAGAATGAGACAGAAGAATTTACATATACTACACTAAATGTCCTGAACAACTCTGCAGTTCAAGAGAGATAAGCAAAGATAAAAGTGCTGAAATATCAATCATTTTTAGATTTCAAATCAAACCCAAAGCAGAAATCACTAGTGCATTTTTTAAAGGCTGCGTGGCTTACACTCTTAGGTACTTCAGTATGAAATTGTTCTCAAAGCTTAGCATAGCACTACTACTCTTAAGCAAGAAAAAAACCAATTTTTTTCCCTCCTTATTTCCCCAGAACACTAAATTTTGAGTTCTCAATTTTACATGCCAACACCAGTTAAGTAAGAATATTTCTGAGAACTCGATTTGTATTATGCAGTATTTATACTTCCCAAAGTTTTGCACATTTAAGAGACATTTTACTGAAACAGATTTTAAATTTATACACAGACTCCTTCTTCATACTTGTCATATTTCTACTTAATTTTCCACTTATGTATTAAATTCAAAGCTTTAAAGCAACAACTCATTTCCAAGGAAACAAAACTATGTGGTCACGGAAACATTTTGCTAAGAGAAATGCTATTTACAGAGAGACACTATAGTAAACAGAACAGATTTTAACGTAAATAAAACAAAACAGAAGTGGATAATACTTATTTGGTAAATTATGTTTTGCCTAAGTCACCTTATAGACCTGTCCTTTACAACCAGATAGAGGGGTATTTTTAAATGAGCAGAAGAAACAAACTGTACCTGAGATAGCTGCCAAAATAAGCAACAATGTTTGGATGTTTACAGTCTTTCATCATAATGATTTCCTGCTGCACAACAGCAAAATCTTCTCCTGAAAAGCAGAAGAATTAATATTTTCATTGGCCTGGTTCATACATCTCAACTAGACTTTCAGCACATGTTTATAAAATAAACAGTTTGAGTAATTAAAACTAATTATTTGCCACTTTCACAGACATATAAAGCAGCCGTAAATCAGTATTTATTAGCAAGGGCTTAGCAATAAGCAACTATATTCTTAAGAAGTTTCACTTTGGGCCAGATGGACCTCACATCTGCTATCTGATTTCTGATGATATCGGCCGGAGCTCTTTAAGTCTTCATTTTCCCCAAGAACCCTGCTGGGTCCATCTGCATATGTCCTGCCAATATCCCAGGTTGTTAAAAACATGACAAAATTTTGATATTTTTGGTCACACGACCGGCACCCCTTAGATCACCTTCCTGAGCAAAAAGAGCATTCAATAGTACACTGCTGCTGCAACGTTTCAGTAAACTCAGCACGCAGATAAATTTATGGACTGTACGTAACCTAAGTCCAGATAAAACACTGACACAGATGTGGCATTTATCTGAGTCTTACTATTTGGTACCTCAGTTGTCCCTGTCTTTCTAGAAAAGCTTCTCACTAGATGTGTAAATTGAAAAAAAATCATGTACAAAATTGAAAACCCAACGTGCCTCAGAGATGGTTTTGTTTTGGGGGTGCCGCACAGGGATTCTGTAGGTAGGTTAAAGAGAGAAGGCAAGAAAGATATCAAATCTAAGAGGATTACGGTAACAGATGATTGACAGCCTTTTTAATTTTTTTTTTTTTAAGAAATACATGTCAAGTGCTCTTTTGCAGTTCACTATCTTACACTGGGGCTCCTTTGAAATTTTTTAAGTCATAAGGGCAAATTATAGCTAGTCAGGTATGTTCTTTCTAAAGAAGTTCTTCTGAAGTTTCTTTAGCTACTAGATATACACAGTTCACAAAAAACCAACTCATTCTTACTAACCTCAAGGACTTCATAGGTGACACAAGCTCGAAGGCCTAAAATAACCATATAACTTAACAGACTCTATAAGCAAGTTCAAAAAACAGGAAAATTCAAAGTATGTCAAAATTCTCCTTTTAGTGTACTGCTGTAGCACATGTCAGCATAATCCAGAAGAGCTTTTAAACCAGAAGCCAAAGCTATTGTCCAAAAAGTTGAGATAGGAAGCTCATATTTATTGTCACAATCCACAATCACCTCTCAAATGTCGCTGTTAATAAATTTCAAACGTAACACAACAAATTCCAACAGAACTGGCCAAGCTCTTACCTCAGAAAATATTATTTCTCCCAATGCATCAACATTCTGGTGACCTAACCATCTGGTTATTTTTAACAGAAATCTGATATTCATGTGTATTTTGTTTAACTGATAGCAAATCTCAAACCACAAACTGCAAGCTAACAACACAACAAACTGTCTGCTATCCATGGTGTATTGCTGATGACTTGCTGTATCCTAGCTAGACCTTTAAACATGCAAACACTGAAGAGCAAAAAAAAAAAAAATAATTTTCATATACAGACAGGTGTCCCTATGAAAGGACATGACCTCCCCAGCATTTGACCAGTGTTTTCATTGCATCCAAAATATTAAAGCACCATAAGCTTTAGAGTAAGTGCCTAAATATTATTATTGGTTTTTTGTTATTTTTTAGAATTTTGTCCTACACTAAAAGGTGGCAATTATCCCTTCTTTCAATAAGTGGACTCGATTGTTCATACAATTGTATCTTAAGCATGAAAATATTTAGTTTCCATGGCCTACTTCAGTTAAGAAACACTTACCTGGTTCCAGTTTTATTACTTTAATTGCTGCTAGCTCACCCGTGTTGACATTTCGAGCCTACCAAAAAAAAAAAAAAAGAAAAAAAAAAAAAGAAAAAAAAAGGTATTTAGGGAGCACAATCAGCTCTGCATTCTCAACACAACATTCTCTGACAACAGAGTCAAAAAGCAACCAAGACACACAAGAGTCTAAAACAGTGAAACCACTTGTTGGGGTGGGGATTTTTAACAAAAAAAGACAAACCAGAGGAGGAGACAATAAATTAAAACATCTTGTATATTTACACTTCATGCAAGATTAGAATTATTTTTTCCAAATATACCACGGATTTCTTTTTTTATTGGGTTTACAGAATATATTTCCTTAGATAAGCATCATTAAGTTCTGTTATATCCAAAACATGTATTTAAAATAACCCATGTCTGTGCTTTATGACAGTGAACCAAACCGGCAGAATTCTGCAGCTAGCACGCTCTTCTCCAGTACACACTTGTAGGAAGCTGTCCTGAGTTCAGCCAAGACAGAGTTAACTCTCTTCATCATAGCTAGCAAGAGGCTGTGGCTTGGGTTTGTGCTCAGAAGAAAGCTGATAAAAAGTGATGTTTACGTGGCTGCCGAGGTCTTTCAGCTCCTCCGGCTGTCTGCAAACAGGAGAAGCTGGGAGGGAGCACAGCCCCAGTGACCAGCCCAGGATTTGATCTTAGGTTCGGGATTGAGACCCAGAGTGGCCAATAATCTATCCCATACCATACCCGTCATGGCCAGGATAGAGGTGAGGACCCTCCAGAAGATCGGCCCTTTTGGTTCTGGATCAGTTTTGCTTCGGGTCATCTCGCTCCAGGTGGTCGCTCTCCCAAGGCCTTTCCCCCCCTCACCCCGGTCAGCTCTGGGTCTGGGACGCTCAGACTGTTCTCTCCGTTCTGTGAGTGGGGACGCGCCCTGCTCCGGGATCGTTAGCTGGGAACAGGCTGAGCCTTGGTCATCGGGTGGGGGGCAGTATCACTGTGTGTCACTCATTTGTATATTTGTATATAGGATTATTTTCAATGTTATTGTAGTTTAGTTATTAAATTGTCCTTATCTCAACCCACGAGTCCTTTTTTCCCTTTACCCCTTCAATTCTCTCCCCTATCCTTGGGTGGGGGGGGAATTGGATGAGTGAGTGTGTGGTTTGGCCCCCAGCCAAGGGCTAACCCATCACAGAAGCACTCTTACAACAAAACTTCTCATTCCGGGTTTAGTTTCTAACAACAAAGCAAGCTACCCCCTCCCCCTCCCACCCCCCCAAAAAAATCCCACTAGGCAGCTAATTTGTACCAAGATCTGAAGCTTTAATAAATATGCTCAAGGAACCTTGCACTGCCACACAAGAGTTCTAAATTATGGACATCCTTGACCATGCCATACTTCCATACTAAAATCCATAAGCAAACTGACTGCTGAGCTACTGACCACAAAGCAGTTATAATGTCACAGATCTCCCAGCAAACAGCGCCCAGGGAGCATCAAGTGATGTACCCTGCAGCGTACATGACTGCTTCCAAGACTCCCCCAAAAGCGATACAACGCTTCCTGCTCATTTCACTACATGTCCCTTGGTCCTCGCTCTCCACCAGCGACAGCATCCTCCCCCTGCTGCAAGGGTGTGAAGAACACAAGCCAGCAACAAAGGAGTTGAAAAGCATTCCCAGGAAGCTGAATTTTTAAAAAGCCATTAAGAAGCAACATAAATTACGATAATAATACGATTTCTTTTCTCGAATGGTTGCATTTGACTACTAACTGAAAACAAGAAGCCATTTGCCCAGTGCTTGCAAGGATACTTCTGTGCCCACGCACCCAGCTATGAGTAGAGGGCAGCAAACCTGCACCCCAGCACAGAAACAGCAGCTCCTGAAGGATGCCCAGCTACAGCCTTGCCTCTCCCCTCCCCAGGGAAGTCCTGGTACCCAGAGCTGCCCTGTGCTGGACCACTGCTTCACTGAATACCCTGCCTGCTCTACTCCCTACACAGGGCACAGAAAGCGGGATCGGCTTTTGTCTTTTCGTCCATCCCCTTTAAATCAAAAAAAGGCCACAATTACAGAATTTAAATGTGCAGACCTTTTAAGCTGCTAATGGTCTCATTTAAATCACTTCAGGAGCTCAAGGGCTCACCTCTTTTATTGATTACCCATGAGACTCCCCGAATACCATAAGGTATTGATTTTTAACGTGGCAGCTTGAGAGCTGCTTGTGGAACCACAAATGGAGAGCAAATAACCCTAAGACTATAAAAAATACCCAGCAATAAAGTCTGGAAATAAGTAGCAGTGTGTAATCCTTGTCTAGAGATCTACCCACGTTGCTCCTAGCACAGGTGATCTCAAATCTCCCACTGTTCCCTGGTGTGGCAATGCTCTTCTGCAATGCTGGGAGTACTGGCATTTGCAAATAATTTGCAGGCAGAGCGCTATCGAGAGATCCTGAGACCAGTGGGAACCCTGTAAAAGTCAAGGAGTAGTCCAAACTGGATAGATCACGGAAAAAACAGTTAAAAACAAATTTTCTCTGGCATCCTTCCCTGTAGGTCATTATTTGCCCATCTCACTGATGGCAGCAGTGTCTCTGCTCATTGCTGTATGGTGGAATAAAGACACAAAGACACTAAAACCAGCAAAAACAGGACATCCTTTTATCTGTACCAGAGAATGTAAGCAACACATGAGAAAGTGGCACCACTGAAGCATAAGCTAGGATTTTTATTCCTTATTTCTTTTCCAGGACTTTATTTTCATAACAAGAAACAAACACAGAGGCAAGCTGTTCATGAATCAAAGGTCAGCATTTTTAAACCTCCAAGATTAACAAGAAAAATTACTGACGCTTTAACAAAGACCTGAGATTGTCAGGGAGTCTTGTTAATAATTAAAAACTTGCACTAGTGAGGTAATCAATGAGACATGACTGTAGTGGATACAAGTGAGGAGATCCTGAATTTATGCATCTTGCATGCAGCTGGAATGCACAAGCCAAGCTGGGAAAAATTCAAGGCTTCAGGGATTTTGCTTGTTTAACAAAATTGTTTGGTAATTTTTTTAAATTTTATTTAACGATACTGTGTCCAGCTGTCAGGAATTTGTTTAGAATTATAGAATGGTTTGGGTTGGAAGGGACCTTGAAGATCATTGAGTTCCAGCCCCCTGCCATGGGCAGGGACACCTCCCACTAGCCCAGGTTGCTCAAAGCCTCATCCAGCCTGGCCTTGAACCCCTCCAGGGATGGGGCATCCACAGCTTCTCTGGGCAACCTGCGCCACTGCCTCACCCCCCGCACAGGGAAAAACTTCTTCACAATATCTCATCTCAATCTCCCCTCTTCCAGCTTGAAGCTGTTACCCCTCATCCTCTCACTATACTCCCTAACAAAGAGTTCCCCCCATCTCTCCTGTAGCCCCCTTTCAGCACTGGAAGGCTGCTAGAAGGTCTCCCCAGAGCCTTCTCCTCTCCAGGCTGAACAACCCCAACTCCCTCAGCCTGTCCTCATACAAGAGGTGCTCCAGCCTCAGACCATCTTTGTGGCCTCCTTTGCACTCCCTCCAACAGGTCCATGTCCTTCCTGTGCCAAGGACTCCAGAGCTGGACCACAGTACTGCAGGTGGGGTCTCATGAGA